GGTTATAGAAAAGCAAACATCCTTAAAAACAATGACTTCAGGTTTTATTAAGTATTGTAATGGAATAAAACACATAAAGGTAAACAGGTAAGAACCTGTGAGAAATAAAGTTAAGTAATTAGTATATATATATTATATATAGCAATTACATAATTGTATAACTTGTAGGTGTAAAGTGACATGTAGTTTTAAAATAGCCAAACTGTGTCATCAAACATATAAGAAAATATGAAAATTAAAATAAATTAAGATAAAAATTATACTACAAAGAAAAATTAAGTAAGAAATAAGCAGACACAAGACAAAACAAAAAAGGTTATTTTAACCTAAACTTATATATATATATAAAATATTATTATTATTATTTTCCCACTTTCTCACTCTAGTATTTCTTGTTTCTAACCTATATGAACAGATTTTTTTGTATGAATAAAATCACTGAAATTAAAGGGTAGCACTTGCTTCAAATTTGTTTAAATCCTTTTTCATAGATATTGTTGTTTTAAGAAACTTATTGTGTTTAGGTTTTTCATCATAACAAAAATTTTCAAAAAAAAGTTGAACAGTATAGTATATGGTAAAAAAAAATTCCCATAATTTGTAACAAAGAGAATAACAGTTTTTTTATTTTATCAACAACTTTTTTTGTTCAGTTCACGGTTTTTGAACTGAACTATATTTTATTGAATAACAACATGTGTTTGATAGCAGTTTATCTGTATCACTCCATTTAAATCTTGTGCTCTCAAGTTATTATGTATATTAAGTAACACTGTGCAAAACAATTAAAGATGGATGGGAAATTTTAATGCCACAACTACATCTGGTTGCCCATATCCATACATGTATAAAAAAACACGGCCCATAATTTCCCAACTTTTCCAACATTTTAGAACAGAATCGTGATTTTCCATTACTTTTCACCCCTTTATCAAATTCTCTAACTTTTTCAAGTTTGAGGCCACCTTGATTGATAAGGAGAGGCCACTATTATAACTTATAAAACAGGAAGTTCTTAGTTGCTATAAATGATTTGTTCAGTCCTTTCTTTCTCAAATAACATTTATCCACTGAGTTGATCTTTTCAACCAGTAACAAATCAGTTTTACTTTATTTTGTAAAATTTAGTCATAACAACAGTACATTAAATCTATTGTATGCCATTTTTTTTTCCCAATAAGAAAACATGTTTGTAAATTTGGTTCCTGTCTGCCTTTTTTCCTGCACCAAACTTCTTAACCCATTAACTGTGGCAGGAGGAGCTCAGTTGCCGTTTTCTGACTCACAGATAAAACTAAGTTGCCATCAATCACAATAAAACAGTAATTTTCATCATTCGCATATATTTATAGTTATATATATACATGCGACTGATGGATATTTCCATCATTTGCAGCTGAGCCATAGAACTTAAATGACATCAATATCAGTCATCCGCAGTTAATGGATTAATGTACATCTTGTCCTCTAAACCCATTGCATCTCTTAGTTATTCTGTGGAATATACTTAATTATACATTAATTCTTTCAACAGAAGAAATATGCTTCAATATAAGTCATTTTAACTTAAATATCTTCCTTAATTTACAAACGTGATATTTATACAATGGTTGACTAAAATACAAAGTATTGGTTTTCTACCTGTAATTACAAGTACTTTGAAAGATACTTAATTCTACATAAAAAGTCATACCTTAACCTTTCATTTCTTATTAACTATCATGTAATATACATATTCTTGTTTTATTCTTCCAATATTCAATTAGTATTCTTCCAAAAGTTGAAAATTTACACAATGTTATACATGTACAATGTATATGTCTACTTCTAACCAAACAATTACGCACATGTATAAGCCATTCTTCATGTTGAGATCAATAAGTGTATGACCAAGATATTAACAGCTGTACCATATGATATTCTAAGTTCAGCCATATATACACCATGTTTATTTCATGCAAAAGAAAATTAACAGTTTCCACTTCCTTAACATCAACAAGGTCAATATCTCATTTTCTAAAGAAAAAAAACCATTTTCTTACATTTTTACTTACTCTGTGACAAAAACCAGAAACTACATAAAATTATACAATATGCAAGGCAATTCTATATAGTTAAATTGTGCATCATTTTCCATTAGTTTGTTTGTTATGTAATGGAAAATGATGCACAATTTAACTATAGTTATAAGTTAAGGTTGTACTATTACACTTGGTTACAGATATAGTAAACAAGTTAAGGTTGCACTAGTACACTTGGTTACAGATATAGTAAACAAGTTAAGGTTCCACTAGTACACTTGGTTACAGATATAGTAAACAAGTTAAGGTTGCACTAGTACATCTGGTTACAGGTATAGTAAACAAGTTAAGGTTGCACTAGTACACTTGGTTATAGATATAGTAAACAAGTTAAGGTTGCACTAGTACATCTGGTTACAGGTATAGTAAACAAGTTAAGGTTGCACTAGTACATCTGGTTACAGATATAGTAAACAAGTTAAGGTTGCACTAGTACATCTGGTTACAGGTATAGTAAACAAGTTAAGGTTGCACTAGTACATCTGGTTACAGATATAGTAAAGAAGTTAAGGTTGCACTAGTACACTTGATTACAGATATAGTAAACAAGTTAAGGTTGTACTAGTACATCTGGTTACAGATATAGTAAACAAGTTAAGGTTGCACTAGTACATCTGGTTACAGGTATAGTAAACAAGTTAAGGTTGCACTAGTACACTTGGTTATAGATATAGTAAACAAGTTAAGGTTCCACTAGTACACTTGGTTACAGATATAGTAAACAAGTTAAGGTTGCACTAGTACACTTGGTTACAGATATAGTAAACAAGTTAAGGTTGTACTAATACATCTGGTTACAGATATAGTAAACAAGTTAAGGTTGCACTAGTACACTTGGTTATAGATATAGTAAACAAGTTAAGGTTGCACTAGTACATCTGGTTACAGGTATAGTAAACAAGTTAAGGTTGCACTAGTACACTTGGTTTTAGATATAGTAAACAAGTTAAGGTTCCACTAGTACACCTGGTTACAGATCTAGTAAACAATTTAAGGCTTGTAGACAATGGCTAGGTTAATTTTAGTTTTTATTGTGGACAATGGCTGAATTAATTTTAGTTTTTATTATGGACAATGGCTAGGTTAATTTTAGTTTTTATTGTGGACAATGGCTGAATTAATTTTAGTTTTTATTGTGTACAATGGCTAGGTAATTTTTAGTTTTTATTGTAGACAATGGCTGAATTAATTTTAGTTTTTATTTTGAAGGTTTGTCAGGTGGCATTCAAGCAGTGCCACAGTTTATAAAAATCTTATTAACAAAAATATTTGACAATACTTAAATAGTAATCCCACATTAAATGTCATTCATGTGGAAAATTTGATCTTATGATTCATATAATGCTCATTACTTAAACAAAAGTTGTTCTACAAAAACCATCAAAAAATTATACATAAAAGCTCTTTTCATTCATTAGAACATACCAATATGGTGAAGTATGTAATGGCTGTATTGTTTCTGTAAAACTTATTGCATGCCTAATGTACTTATTTTTATCATTACGCAAGTAATACATCTCGTGTAATTTTTTTTATTAGATTTAAAGGTCTGAATTTCTTTTTTAAATCAAACTGTTCGTATTACTCTGTCTTGTATTGCTATTTACTTATTATTATTATGTTTATTAGGTGTGTTTAATTAATCAACAGTTGAATATAAAATACATTATGACCAATAACCTACTTGCAATGGTGACTGTTAAATAAAGATTTATTTTGCTTAAATCAGCTGCAGTTCTTTTAATTGGCCACAACAAGGTGCTCTTGCAATGCAAGCTTACTATATGTGGTTATATGAGTATCACACATAGTATCAAATAAGTGTAAATAAAAAAATGAATTTTTTTTTATTTAAAAACATGATTACTGTTCTATATAATGTATTTTTAAACTGTATGCGAGTGCTTTATTTCATGCACGTGGATGACCTATAAAATAAATGGGTTTTCTATCAAATATAAACTAGTATTTATGGTGTCATATACAAAAACAAATTAGTTTTATGTTCTAATTTATCATAAAGCAACTTGCACTTGATGCTAAGGAAAAAATAATGGCAATTTGCATGACTTTCATCTGGCAATTCGCACAATTTTGGTAGAAGAAAAAATGTCAAAGTCAACAGCTGTAAGCATAATTACATAATTAAAAGATAAATTGACTGTTTCTATTTCCCAACAAACACAAGTATGAAATGCTAATCTACATCACACAGTTTTGTTGCTTTTGCTTTAACAACTAGAGTTAAAGTAGACAACAAGTGTATTAAAATGTTAGAGGCACTAAGGATGACTTCTATCCTACATTTCTACAAGATGTATAAAATTATAAACTGTCATATGTATAGTACAGTAAAAATACTTATTTTAGTACAGTTGTCATTCTTAAATCGTTGTTGTATGAATGATAAAGTTGTAGAAAAAGTAACTCAAACTTGACTCAAACATTTTAGTAATAGAACTAAAGGCCTGTGAAGATTCAAGGTTGGTTATTAAAGGATATATCAAGGGAGTCAGTTATCAACTTATAAGAAAAGTATAATAACAATGATGATAGTTGTTTTAGTAATTACACTACCTCACAACAACAGAGATTTACTGACTGTTTGTCTGTGGTGACAGAAATGAGTAGAATCTGCATCAGGGCCAAAAATTGCATGTATTTTACACTTGGAATATCCTTGGCACACAAACAAACTACAGAAATTTCTCAAAGTGTTTGTGGGAAAATAAAATATACTAACAGAAACAATTGTAGCAACTAATATACATCACAATTACATATGAAAGTTCACTACTAAATATCTATACATCAACACCTTTTAGACCATTAAAAAATTAACTGAAATTGCAATGTAAAAATATTTTCCAAGTTAAGCTGGATTATTAATCATAAGAACAACAGCTAATATTTACTCACCAATTTTTACAGGAAAAATATCTTCATTATTGATCTGTGCTTCTACCCAGTCCATTAAAAGAGAAACATAGTTAGGAGCAGGAAGTGGTGTAGGCTTTTTGTATCTGATACCATCTGCCCAAAGGTACTCGAACCTATTGACGTTACAAAAACATTTATAATAAAACATATATTCTTTCAAGTTTCAGTGACTTTTTTAAATATTATACAATGCACACTCACGATGTTTAACTTTTTATTGGGACCATCCCTGGTGCTTGCAAGTGGGTATGGAAAGTCGGCATAAGATATATTTTATACAAGTCTTATAGGTGAACACTGGGAATGAAAAGTTCACAATGCAACCATTGTGCACAATAATGAGCAAGAGTAACGACCTATTACCATTTAAAGAAGCATAATTGTTTTCACCAATGTATGTGACAGGTATCTCCATTACAAAGATTGTTGAACTTGCTAGCTGTTTAATGACATCTGCTGTTGAAGTTTACATTGAAGGACAAAGTGAAAAAAACCTTTTAACTTTTTAGAATTAAATTTAATTTTAAACAGGCACTTACTTCTAAAATACTAAAAACTTTGTTCCAAGTTGCTTTCATGTCATCAAATATCTTGATGCAATGTACACAATGCATTAGCTTACCCAGGATTCTTCACTTTCCCACATCCACATGACTTATTATGCATGTATCAGGAGAACTTATAAAAGCCATTCTTTCATACTATAGGCCTGATTTCTTTGCTTACAGTCATGATGAGAAAAAACCTTCCTTCCAGTTGTGGGAAGGTTGGTAAGATTGTATTTCAGAGGTAAGTACCTGTTTTAAAATAATTTTGATTCTAGGAATACATATCTCTGAAACACTAAAAGCCAGCACACTCAAAACTTAAATAGAGAAGGGAACTGAAAAGTGTCATAATTAATACTGGTTCCTCAAAGGTAAGGCTCATATAGGATGATAACAACCTACACCACAAAAAATTAATTAAATTACCAAATAAAGTTTGAGTAGAATCCAGAAACATAGTGGAAGTAAATGGAATAAAATCATGGAAAAAACAAGTTGAGCACACTAGCATCAAGAAGGTTGGACCTACAAAAAAAGACACTTGAGCATTCTTCTCAGCAGCATACCTCCTAACCCCAAACACACCTCAACAAAGTCAAGTGGCAATAACAGAACCTATGGAGCCATGCACATTCTCAGGTGTGGTCAGAAGTGGTCTCATAAGAGGTAAACAGGGCCAAATTGGAAAATGCTGTAATGCAGTTATATTGTTGAAGATTCTTGGAAGAGGGGATCAGTAGTAATTAATGACTGGACATGCCCTTGAAAAAAATCTGGCCTAGTCACAAAATTGACCTAATCAGTGGGTACTGAGAGAAAATTGAATAAACTTTGGCAGAAATAACCCTAGGACAGTACAACGGGAACACCAAAAAAGGGTAAGGAAAAAATAAAAAAGAGAGACATAAAGTGATCTCCATATGAATTGGAGCTATGAAGAACAGGCACCTAATCTCTGATGTAATCTATGTAAGGCCATGCATGTAGAGGTAGAAAAAGGTATTTGACAAAGCATCATCAGCTACAGGGTGACATCCTTTGTCTACTTCTGAAGGGAATCTCCCTTTGGTGAAACTCCAACATAAATTCTGGAGTTTTGTCTAGGACAAACATATACACAGTCTCACATTTTAAGAAATAAGCATGATCAATCTATTTTCTGTTGCTGTTGTTGCCATCGTTGTTTGATAAATAAATTCACAACCTAAGGCACATCTAGAATTATTAGCACAGTTGTTGGAAGGTATAAGAATACCTGAGGTGGCATACATTTTTTTAATTGTGGGCTAAAAAGGAAAATAAGCAGGTAATAGAGAACAGTTAACCTGACAGGGATTCCACTTGGCTTGAAGAATCACAACAAAAGGCCAATGGAATCTCAAAGCAAAGAAACTGCATTATGATGTAAATAAATATAAGAACATATTCTGATTTATCTACATCCCAGTCTATAAGATATCCTATAAGGATAATGCCAAAGAATCACCAAATGGCAAACATAGTTAAATGTAACCCAAAATCACTTTCACGGTGTTCAGAAACATCACAGTAAACAAGATGTATCAACTGCACAAGTCAATTTGTCAATGTAGCTAGAATATAAACCTTTATGAGCCTTCCTGAAAGATTCAGTATGAGTGAGATAAGAAATAGCTTTGACTAACCATAAAATGTTCTTCAGAATGAGAATCAGACAGGGAAGGAAAGGGAACACAACAAGCCAAGAGCAATGGCTAACTTCTCTTGCAGCCCAAGTTTAGATAGGAAGGCATGATCTAAATGAACTAAAACCATTAATTCTGGATATGACAATACAACCTCTACCCATATATGTGCAAGACACTAAAATAAAAGGGTTACTAGTTGGAGACCCCTACACAAATCTATGTGTTACTAGAAACCCATGATGAAAAGTTAAAGTAGTGCTTTTATTCAACTATGGATCACAGGAAATGAGTCATGAGGTTTGATGAGTCACAATACTACTTATTCTATACTAAAGAAAGAACTAATTAATAAAGATACTTATGTAAGGTGTGAAACACTACCCAACATGCGATGTTCTCCCAGTACAAGAACCTGGAGGCAGAATGATGGTATGGAGCACATTTTACTAGCTTGAACTACGTCCACTTAGTTCACTGATAAGATGAATGACTGGCACCATGTATCTGAACATAGATGCTGATCAGGTTCATTATTTTATATTGCATTAACACTTTAAAAGTGGTATACACCTTTCAGATAACAGTGCTACCATTCACATGTGCTCATATCATTCCAAGAGTATGACACAAACTTCAAACTAGGGTGTTCACAGTAGATCTATCTGCATTTTTGGTACCTTAGTTTCTTACATTTTGCCATGATTTTTTTGTCTTTGTTGGTGCTTCCATTTTTATAAACTGTACAGCACTGTCATCCAGATTTTTACTATAATTTTGCAGTCAAGGTGTTAGTATTACTAATGGTATAATTATTTTCATCTTTATGATGTGCATTAGTATTTTCACAATGTTTTGACAAGTGAATTTTCCGGCTGTCATCAGGTGTTATATCAGACGTTTTTTTGTATGCGTCACAACCACAAAGTTTTTTGTGGAATTACCAAGAATTCAAACCTCTGAATGTGTGATCCCAAATACGGGTACTGAGTTTGGAATATTAAGTTTCTCAACACTTGGCCTTCTGAAAATACAAAATCAAAGAGTAAACAACATGAACAGAAGTGATGAAAATATGCCAATGTTCTCATTTATTAAAGAATATAATTTGATGATAAAAGTAATTTTCAAACGTGAAAATTTCCCAAACTTTAAAGATATGACTTTTATATTCCATTCCTTTTCTTGACAATTTTGTGTTTTAAATACTAGTACCTGTTTAGGTGCCATGAGGTACAGTGTTGCTTTACTTTTCTAAAAACAGTTATTTGATGACTGAATGCCCATTTAGGCATAGTGGTGTTTTGACCCATGTTTCCTCTTTTTAAAAGGGAAGCATCAGGGTGTATTGTAATAAGTATTGGTATCATTTTCAGTTTATCATGATACATACAGAGCCCCACTACCAACATTTTATCTGGTCCACACACACCCTGGATGTTAATCCATTTAAGAACCTCTTGGATGAACTTTAATAATATTTTATATGCTTTGATCCTTTACTAACATGTGCTCATACTGTTCATTACTGATTCCACAAGCACAGAGTTTCAATTAGGCCAGACTTAAAAATATTTTTTTTTGCTGTAAACCTAAAATGATTTAAAATGTGAGTAGGTAGGTCAGTAATTTTTTTAATTGCTTGGCAAAACAATTTTGGAAATACCAGTTTTATGATCACATAAAGCATAACACGTTAAACCATGAATGCATGTATTCACTTCCATGTACAAGTAGCCAAAAGAATGTCAGCATATTGCAAATTTAAAATTGAATTCTTTCGCAGCAGATACTTACTGGTTGATATCAACCTCGATCAATGAAGTTGAATTGAGTGTTACTGACAATTTTATGGTTTGTTCTTCTGTTTCATCTCATTTGCTAAGTAAATCTACAAGTACTTCCCTCTACGTGGATAAGTTTATAATTGGAATTAATTTGTTTTTGATCCTAATTCTGGCTGTATGAAGAGAATGACAAAATATATCATCATTCCTCACACAATCACTCAAGGAGAGTCAGTCTTACAAAGATTAAGACATCTAGAGTCATCTGGAATGTGCAAGTAGATGAAATGAAAAGTGCACATTTTACAGCTAGTAAACATAGGCAAAGCACAGATACACATATACCTGAGTCATTATATGTATATAATCAGTTTGAGTCTTCTACGTTTCATGTTTTTAAGAGAAAATAATAAATAATGAATGTTTGTTTTAGCTTTTCACATTAGGCTGCAATTAATCTATGTTTTCAAACATACTAGTTAACAAAACAATTTCTAAGCAGCATAAACACTATGAATTTAAGATCTTAAGAATTATTCTTACACTGGTTTTTACAGTGTTCTAATGAACTGTGCCTCTTATGTTTTTTACAGTGGATTAGAGTTTTGGATTCAATACTAACTCTGTTATTGTGTCTGGAACTTTTTATGCACTAATGAACCCTTATTTCATGTTGTGGATAACAGTAATAAGTTCTGTACATCCTTCTTCAATAAGATCTAAAACTCATGCTGTGGAATGGGTTCTATACTAAATTCCTCTTCATTAAGTAACTTGATATAGACAATAAAAGTATACACTATTTCTGCTTCAAATACTGACCTGGGTGATGGCACTAAGTCTATATTGAATCTTTTTTCAGAAAAGGATGACATTTCTCAGTAACATGAAGAGGACTATGGAGACTGTGGGTTGCCTCTGGTACAAATAAGGTAAAAACCACAGAAGTAAACAGAACCTCTTATATTTCTATTCAATTGGTCTTACAACCATTCTTATCATCTAAAAGTAAACAGTGAATTATTACATAGTAACACTTAATAGCATATCGAAGTAATTTATTTTACTATAAAGACTTGGAAGTCCCTGTGTGCCATTCATTGTTATGCTGAAATGTTTTTTTTTTCCTAATAACTCACAGCAAGCAAAGTGTGTAATGAGGTGTATCTCTTTATAGTTGTTGACAATTTTTATGACAGAAAAAAAAGGATACTTTTTGGGCATAAGGACAGGAAGGCAGAGGCTTTAGCTCACCCTTTACACATCACTGACATTTCTTATGCATTGATTCTGCTACAATTCTTATAGGAAAAGATCAGTTTGTTTCCCCAGAAAGGTCTAGAAGTTTTAAGTCTTTTTATTTTATCAAGCATATTTTAGATCTTGCAAAGAATAACACTGTTCCCTAACAAAAAAATAAACTGTTTAAATTAAGTATTTACCTAGTAAGTTAATACCAAACTTAAAGTATTCAGAATCTAGATTAAAACTTAATCCACACAAATAAATTGCATATTGTACAGCAGCATATCATACTATTATTTCAAAAACTGGTTTAAAATAAAACTTTTGAAAGATATTGAGTTGTTCTGCAATATAACATTTGATCTTTATTCTTTGCAATTACACTGAGGCATAAGCTTAGCCAATAGGTGTCATTCTAGATGTAATGTTTTAATGGCATGACATCATTGATAGTCTCAAATTGTTGTGACAAAAAATACATCGTTATAGTTTGGAGCAATTTTGAGAAAAATGCTTTTAATGTCTTTTATCTCCTAAAAAAATTGATTGATAGAAACAACTGCACTATGACACTGATGGAATATTTTTCAAAAGTGGTTGGAAACCTAAAGCCATGTCACATCAAGAAAGAGAAATTCTGACATGCATGGTAGTTAATGAGTCTGTACCAAAATATAGAATACTTATGTAAACCTGTCTTTTTTCCAATCAATCTATCAATCATTTATCAATCATAATGTTAGCTTGAAGCAAAATTCTTTGTACTCATAAAATGATCGATAATTTTATAATAATTATTTATTAAATTTTTCTTTTTCTTTTATTTATGCTTTGTTATATATTTATTATCTTTTGAATGTTCTTAGTTTCCCTTTTTCATAGATGCACATGCCTTTACAACTGGTAGTGTAGTAAAGGGTTCGTGTACATTTTCTTACATTATTGCAAAACTTAATGTGGTTCTCAGTTGTCACCAATTATTGTTATTCAAAAAATGTCAGAGAAAATAATAAATAATTCTAATTACAATGTCAGTATGCAAAATTCTTCACTTCTGTTTCAATGCACTCATATATACTTCCATTTACTGTAAGCAGCTTCCAAGCCACTTATCTATGCATGCATACTTAAATAAACAAGGATTTATGCTCCATTATGCCACAAACATGATATATTAACATCTCCAATATATTTATTAATGAAAATATTTAAATCACCATATGATATGAAGACAAGGTTCAAATTTGTGCAAATAACAAATTCAAACCAAAAAGAGCTTTGTTACACACCTGGCTAAATTATATTTGTTGAATTTTATCTTTTTTTTGGTAATAGTGCGAGATAAATTTTCCTTCATATTTCATTCATTATGTTTGAAAGAAAACAATGTAATTTAATGGTATAATGGAATAAAATGATACATTTCTTAAAATTAAGTTACTTAAAACTATTTATGAGTTTGCATGGGATTCATGTGTTCGTATAAACATTTAATATGTAAAGCTTAAACTACTCAGTAATGAATTAAATAAAACATTTTCAGGCAACAACAAGGAAAAATCAAATGAATGTAGCCAAACATTAGTTTCTGTCAATCTCTGAGGAACTACATCCCATTTAAAGGTGGAACTCTTGTAGTGTTTGCTTAATTGTGTAAAATCATATGAATAGACAAACATGCCAATAGAACCCAATAGTAATGAAACACCTAACCATGTCTTAGACATGAGACTAATACACACACATATATAATCTTTTGGATGAATTACATTGATGGAAAACACAATATTTGAGTTACATTCCAGCATTTATCACGATCGGTTAAGTAATGATACTGTCATTGGACCTCTTTTACCACTTCCCTTAGAAAGACGAGCAAACTTACACAGATTGCAGTATTAGTCTTGAGTTTGTTCATAAAGGACAAAAGTCAGCATGTGATGATATGATGTCAACATTAAAAAGATTAGGTGATATGATACAAGATATAAACAAATGATACAAAATGTTAGAGAGCAGCAATTCTTATTCATTGTTCAAAACATAACCAACCACATAAAGTATATGAGAAGCCAGAATGGTTAAATCCATTCTATAACAAATTCTAATAATTAATCGTCTCTCACATTTGCACAAAAGAAAAATGCAAAGGGATGGATATTTAACTGTCACCTTTGGTTCAGGTATCCAGAGGGTTGACATAAAAACTCTAATACTGTTTGGTAGTATAAGAAAAGCCATGCTAAACTGCCAGACAGGTAAATAAAGCTCTAGTTTGTTTAATGGTCAGAATCCATTAGTTGAAGGAGAATGGTTGGTTAGAGATGACACTGTAATGAAGTAAAAAAAAAAATGTTTGCTGAAATTCATTCTTAAACAAGACACTGACTTCTTAATTTGGTATTCTGGTGGACCTTTTAAGGAGCCTCAGAAAATAATTACACAGTAATAATACTATATGATTTAAAACAGAAGCAAGAAGAGCATTTATACCATTTAAATACATTGTGTAAGTCATATACAACTCGTTAGCAACAGAAGCCATAATGGCAGTCTAAAACTTTAACCAGTACTTATCCATAGTCACACAACCTATGGACCGGATGATTTACTGACAGTGAACAGATCATATTTGAGCATTTTAAATTATAGTAATTAGAATGTAGACTTATAAAATTTCAAAAGCACTGAAAACACAGAACATAACTTACTTAGGTCCTCCAGACATTGTGGGGCATGTTTCTTCTAAACAGTAGTCTGTGACAGTTCCATATATTAGATTGATTCTGTTAAAGAAGTCCACAACTAGAAAAAAATTCATCAAATTAAGAAGAATATTACAATATGTATAAATAATCTTAAGTTTCAGGTAATTAAATTTAGGACTTATTTCCTAAAATAAATTCACATCTTAGGATTATTAAACTGTGTTCATTTATGTCTATCAGTGTAAATAGGCATGAGATACAATAAAGCAAACTCACTACAACAAGTTTTCAACCAAATGCTTAAAAGGTTATCAAGCTCAACTAAATATATGATTAGAAATGTAAACAAGATTATTTTTCTGTACATATTCTAATTGATAAGCAATATAAACAATCTTTAGAAAATGTGACTCATATGTATATACCAATCAAAAACAATATGAGGGAAAAAAAATGTAATTCAGGTGCGTCTGTATGATCTATCTCTTCAGTGTAATCTGGGAACAGACAACATAGTAAACATAAGGTAGCTTAATATATCATGAGTAAATGTAAATTATAATCTTTAGGAAAATGTTCTGTGTAACTTTACATATATTCTTATTTCAAACTCTTTTCAGGTTGTGAATCTTTCTACATTTACTTCGTAGTGTTACTATGCTTCAGATCTAAGAAGCCACGTAATACATTTGTATATGAGTGCATTTAGTAGAAAAAGCCTAATATTTTCTCTAACAGTTTATCATTCCCCACAGTATATTCTTAATACTGCTTTGTTAAACTGACAATACAATTACAATTTCTAAGTAATACATGATGTACATATAGTCAGATATTAGTTCTAGCCTTAATACATTGTTTTATACAAAAAACAACAACACTGACAACAATAACTATCAACCATCCAAACAAAATATGGGTTTAATTGTTCCTAAAATGTTTACTAACATTTTAAATATTTTAAAGATCCATAAGTAACTGACAAGCTTAATAGCACTTAACCATATATAGAAAGATCTTCTGAATAAGTAGAAATATCTTACCATGAACAGCTAACCAATCATTAAAGTTTTCCCCTGGTGGGAGCTTTACAACTTCTCGAAGGTTTATTCCAGAGTTTAATGAAGCTTCAGCCTGTTTATGGAGCGAGTGTCTGAGAGTACCTGGTTCAAACTTCTTTTTGGGTCGGAATGTCTTAATAAAATAGAAAATTTTAAAATTATGTTCAGTTGTTAATAATAATATACATATACATACAGGTGTTGAATGCATTATATTAAGATACTTTTGGAGCATCACCATGTCATTAGAATCCATACTGCCACATCCAGTTTTGCTGTTTCTTACAAATGTGCAGCATAGGTGAACATTTTCCAACACTGAAAACGTATTTCCGATAAATACTTACATCCACTCATATATAGCTTTACCAATTCAGTGCTATCCTCTATACACACAATTTTCACTTACCACTAACCTTGAAACTCCCACCTAAAATCACGCATTTTCACACGATATTGCTGCACTGTTGCATAAAACTGAACATGCAACAACTCTCCACCAATAGTGTAGATTTAGGATAAGTATACCCTGGCAGGCATAATTTGCTACTGAGCAGGATCCAGTGAGGTATGAGAGGGGCTCTGAAGAGGTAAGACAAAATAAAAAAGAACTTAGCCAGTCAGAGCTGGTAAGATGTATGAAAAACGGCAACTGGAGTTAGCCTGCAGCCATATGATAAAGATAGTGTGCAATTAAAGTGTGAGAGGTCATCCACAGACCAGCCTGAACAATTTCCTCCAACAGATGATGGAGGTGAGCAGCCAGGGAGAAAGTTGGATAAGGGATTTGATGAGATGTTACCTGGAAGCATCAATGAACATCCTCATCCAATGAAGAATATGCTAAATGAATGAGTTGATGAAGCCATCCAGTAAGGGTAATGGGAGAAATATTGTGGGTGGAAGAGGGATTCCAAGGAATGAAGAGACAGATCTGGGAGCCACAAAATGGAGTGGTGTGGGCCAAGTAACAATAGACTGCATGAACAGGACAGAATCATGATCAAAGTGTGAATAAAGGTGAGAAATATTGGAGTGAACATGCTGTCCAGTTCACATGCCACAGACATTTTAGAGAGAAAAGTGCAATCAGGATGGAGAAGAATAAAGGAGTGATGGAAAAGAATACGGGAAAAATGAATGGCATAAACATCAAAGTATTCATGGCTACAGGAGAAAAGGAAGAGGAGGAAAAAGTTTTTAAGTGAGAGGTACAAGGACCAGGAGGGCAAAGGTTCAAAATGAGGAAAGTATGGGCACAGAGGACAAGATACAGGTTTCAATTGGAAAGAATTGAAGAAGGGCTTCTTTTTTTTTTGAGGAGCACAATTGGGTTCATGCTCCTTCTTACTTTGTAACCATGTTCAAGGAGCATATATAACAGCACTCCTTAAAATTTCAAGAGTGGATTAAAAAAATAAAAAATACCATAAACAGCACGGGAAATACAATATAGACCGTATACATACATGTAAGTGTAAAAAGGAAAGCCAAATGAAAGATGGCCACCTGGCTCACTGAGTCATTATTAATCTGCAAAATAATAATAATAATCCACTTTAAATATATAAGTCTAATGAAAAAACTTATTGCTAAAAAAAAAGCTAAGTAGAGCTGGCTACTAAACTTGAAAAGAGGAATCACATAAAATAGGGATGAAAGTGGACATATCACTTGATCAGCTAATGATCATATAGCAGACTACTCTGTCTTGACTTTACATGGAGAATAGAACCCCTACATTATTGACTAGTAAGAGAAGGGTACTTGTGATAAGTGCCGATGCACAGCTCCTCTACCTCCGGCAGACACTAGAGACCCCATGCCATTTGCAGGAGAAAGGCACTGTATTGGACACAATTAGTATGGTTACTTATATAACAAATACTTGACCATCGAACTCTATGAGACCCTTGCCTGCTCTGGAAGTATGGTGTGGTGTGTGAGCAATACATCATAGCTGGATATTAAATAACATCATCTACTCTGCCATCAGATACTGAGGATCCATGCCATTGAAGGAGTGTAAAATATGATAGAGACATATATAAGAGATTGTTATTGTGATATGTATCTAAATTAAATTTGGAAATTGTAGGTATCAAAATGAAGTGGGGTGATCCACACTACACTTCAGAAACACCCCTGTCCCACTTCTTACTGCAGATGGATCCCTAATTCTAGCATCAGTAGTTAGGTCCCAATCAGTGAAGATTCTCCAAGACCAACCATATAGATTTTGAATAAGTATACCTTCACAGGCAACACTAGCTGCCTAGGGGGATCTGAAAGTAGAATAAAGATGAGAAAAGAAAAAGTAGATGAATACTCTCACCTGTTACAGGTGCAGGGTCAATTGAAGAATGGCCATTGGTGGAGACAAGACAGCTAGATGGTGGAATCAGTGCGAGAAGAATGTGAGTGTGGTAGTCCACATGCTAGCCCAAAAAATCTCCTCACACAGTCAATGATGGTGGGTTGCCAGAGGCTGTCAGTAGATGAATCTGGTTAGAGGAGACTCAAAATAGTTGTCGACCATCCACCTCCAAAAAAAGAGTAAATGATCTAGATGAGTTGGAGGATCTAGCAGTAGAGGAAGAAAGGTCTCTATAGAGGAGGGGTCCCAAAGAATGAAAAGAGTGTTGTGAAAACTTTAAAAGAGGAAGTACTCGAGAAACAAAACAAACACCTGGACTGGACACAAGAGTCTGTACAGAGCAGAATGTCCATATAAATGGGAGAATATGGGGGACATCTTTCCTTAGAAACCAAAGTCTAAGGAAGGAAAAAACAGTTGAGGTAAAGAAGAATGTATGAGCTGTGGCAAAAAGGTCTAGGAGTAGTAGTTAGGATAAATGTCAGAATGATGACAACCACATGCAAAGAAGAAAAGGAAATAAGTTTGAGAGTGAGAGGCAACAGAAAGAGCATATAGTAAGGGATTCAAAAGGTTGAGAATGAAGGCATGAAAAATGACATTCAAGTAATGGAGTGGGAATAGAGGGCATTGCAGTAGGAAGGATCATAAAAGAATGGTAAGAGCAGGGGAAGAAAAAACATTGTGAAGCTTGGAAAAGCAGAATTTAGTGTATAGAGCAACTTGATACAGTACAATATTAAAAACAAACAAGCCAAGTGGAATAGTCAAGTAAAGAAAGAGGTGAGGAGATATCAGGTAGGTCTGCCAAATAGGAAATGATGAAGGAGAGACCAATGGCAATAAGCCCACCATTTCTGTTGATACATAGAAAAGATGAAAAAATAATAGGAATGAGAAAGAAAGAAGGCTACACATTTGAAAAGTCCAGCTCGATGTGCAATGCAATGGACTGAACAAATCCCAAATATGAAGTTCAAGGGATGAGACATTATCAAAGAAAAAAGGTGTGAGAGGATGTACAAGAAGGGATGGAAATGTGGGAAGTAAAAGAGATGGTTTGGTCGAGAGGAGACATAGAATAGGAAATCAAAATTGGGTAGGCCAGTAGTGATCAACCAACTATACTCAGTATTGGGTGTCCAGACTGAGTATATCAACAGTAAGGGCCTATGGGTGAAGAACAAGAGACCAGAAGAGAGGCATTTTGGTATAAAGTGGGGAGGTAAATGCATCCATTAGAGAAGTAGCAAGTTCAGAACAACCCAATTGGGAAACTAAAGGTGAAAGGACCATTCTGTGGGTGGAATGCAGTACAGTTGTGAAAGGTAGTGAACAAGGATGTCCAAAATGCCCAGAGCATGACAGACAATTAAAAACACCTGACTAGAATGGGCCCAATACAGAAGATCCAAAGTCTAGAAGCAGAGGGTTCTGGTATGGCTGCCCCATGATGGTTTATATGAGACATCACTGAGGATTTGTCTGAGTGGACCACGACTAAATGATCAACCAAGAGGGGCAGACATTGAAAGCATGCCCATTTAACTGTAAGCAGATCCAGGAAGTTGATGTGGAGAGAATGCTCCTCTGAGGTCCAGGTATCCAAATTATGAGAGTCGTTCAAGGATGCTCCACACCTGGTGAGAGATGTGTCAGTAAAACAGGTGTAGGTCAGACTTCAAAGGAGGTAATGTAATGCCAGTGGTGGTGTTTCAGCATATCAGCCACCAGGCAAGAACCTCCAGGAGAAGGAAAGGTTTGTTTGTTTGGAATTAAGCACAAAGCTACACAATGGGCTATCTGTGCTCTGCCCACCACAGGTATCGAAATCAGATTTCTAGCATTGTAAGTCTGCAGACATACCGCTGTGCCACTGGGGGGCAAGAAGGAAAGGAAAGACGACTCGTGAGGTTAGTGGATCCCATGACAGGTTCCACAGACCATACAGGGCCCACTGTAGGGGGTGCATATGTGCATGTCTGGGTGGATTGAAAAGTTCCAAAGAAACCATAGTCTTTAAATGAGATAGAACCTCCTACACAGTAGGAGAAGGATAGACACAGATTTTAGTGACTAGGCTCCAGTGGTCTTGTAGACAAGGAGATATTTGAGTACAACTGAGGTGAGCGTTGAAAAGTATCCAGAGGTGAATAAAATAATGGGTCAGTGTTAGAAAGGACTTGGAAATCTTGACGAGCCTCCCAAGAGAATGGCCACATGAAGAAGTGAAGTTTTATCTGAGGAGTTATCTTGGGAGGGGAAAAGCCAGTTGTCCATGTAAAAGAGCAACTGGAGTCCCAGACCATGGAGATGAGGAGCGAAAACCCACATAATGTGATAGAATACATAGGGGCTAATTGTATTCTGAATGGAAGGACACAGAACTGATAGACATGGTCTTCGTGGACAAACCTGAGATAATATCATGGAGGTGAAGAAAGGTAGACAGCTAGACCATGGGTCAAGGATTAAGTGACCCATCTGACTACAGTAAAATGAGCCTATGGTTCCCATGGGACTTGAACCAACATGATGGGCACCAATTATTTGGATGATGGGTGGAAGGTGATGGGGAGGTGATAAACTGGAACTTAATGAAGAGGAGGGGTGGGTGAGGTCAGTGGACAGATGTGGTGGGCTAAGACTGGGATAAACTTGAAACTAATGAAGAAAGGAGGCTGCTTTAGTTAATGATTCCAGGGAATCAGTGACACTGCTAAGAGCCTCTAGATGGGGAAAAGGGGGAAACAAAGGTTACAAGGGAAGAAGGAGGGTAACAGACATGTGAAAGCAAGATATCTCTACCCAAGAGGTCCAAACAATAAGGAATAAATTCAGAAGTGAAAGTGTACATTCAAAACTTTGATTGTACTAAGTTGCATAATTTACTCATGAATTTGTCATAATCAGTTTATATTTGATTGAAAACCATTTTTAATTTACAAGTAATTCATATAAATAAAATAAAACATTCACATGTAGATTGAAAATGCATTATATAGACCAGTAAGTATTTCAAATAAAGATTAAATAGTCATGTTGTTTATGCGTACGCATTTGATGTTATATAGGATATTCATATAGCTACATACAGTAAGCTTAAATTGCAAGAGCACCCTATTCCAGACAATTAAACAAACTGCAATTGACCTAGACAAAACAAATATTTATTAAATAGTCATCATTCCAAGTAGTTAAACATTCACTGTCTTTTTATGGTAGATTAAGTATGAAACATAAAATATACACTAAAACTAATTTTAATGTTGGAAAAAAAGCACTGATGTAACTCTATACTTCCTTGCTCTCCAAAGCATATGTTTAGTCAATCAACAGTGTTGTTTTAAAAACTGTGACTGATAATAACATTCTCTCTCTAGCTTTTAGTAACTTTTTATAGTTGAAGGTCCATATTAGTTTTCTCATCACACTGTTTGTGCTACTCTTTTCTGTTTTGCTGTTTACTTATTGTTTTTATTAGGGATATTTAGTTAATTAACAGTTTTGTGTTATCACTTCTCTTACGTCTTGTGAAATAGGAATTCAGTACATTTTATTAGATGTAGTAACTAAACATACCCTCCTATGCTTCACCATAATGGTCTGTTCCACACACAGAAGGATAAACTATGTATAATGCTTTGGTGTTTTTTTTCTTACATGACAACTTGTTTAAGTGATGGGCATTATACATACAAAAGATTAAATTTTCCACGATAGCGAAATTTACAATGTGATTACTATTCAAACACTGTAAACCAGTTTCTGTCAACAAGAGAAAAAAAAATCTGTCACTTCTTGAATGCCACATGATAAACCTTCAAATGTTTAGGACTAACTTTGATTTTCTGGCTATTGAACAAACCTTCACACACAGCCAGTAGAATGATAACACAGAATTATAAATGTCATTTGGACTGCTGTTCTACAAACTGTTGCTTTCTCTCTCTCTATATATATATATAAATATATATGTATTATTAAATCCTTAGTCAACTATTTCTACTTTGCAACTAAGCATATGTGGATGTTACTTGTTTACAATACTTTACATATCTTTAAGATAAGAACAAATCAACAATAAACATATTACACAATGATAAACCCAATGTCATTCATCATCACATGAAAAACTATTGTTTTGACACTAGAGTAACTAGTAGTATGCACCTAGGAAGAGATGATTATTGATAATGTAAGCAGTAAGTTGAAATTAATTTATGTTCAACACATTATGCAATTCATGTTTGATGCATAATGTAATGGATGATTGTTAATCCACATCTGAAAGAAACAAAGAATGCTAGATTAGTTTCACACACTGTTTTGTAAAAAAGGAATATGAAACAACATATGTTCAATATGTTGAGGTTGATATGACTGTAATCTGACATATATATATGCAGTTTTATTTTTTGTAATAACATAATATACAGACAAGAAATCATTTGGTTTTTCAAGACATTCCTTTCACACTCACTGTTGAGAAAGTAAAACATAACATAACACTTCCATCTACAATTATCTACAACTATGTCACAAACTGTTTTTCAGTCACATTATTGAGTAGGTTCCAAATAAATGACAATTCAAAATTTCCAAATGCATTAACTTGCACTTATTTTATGGGCATATATGCTAACAGCTTGGGTACTGAACTAATGAAAAAAATGCATTTTAATCATTGTAAGTAATATGGTTGAACTACATATTTCATTACCTATGCTCAGTTACCAGGTATATATTTTTAGTTCTGATCTATGTAGGTAGCTTGCTTTGAACAGAAATTAATAATAATATTAATATAACTAAAGGTCATTTGCCAAACATTTCCCCTTCATATCAACTGATTCAATTCATTATGTAATACATTAATATTCTCATTACAGCTAGAAATACTTAGTCAGCATACTTCACTAATTTACTAAATACTAGTTTAGTTATGCTCCTATCAATATCATTAATCAATTTAATGTAAATAACAAAAATAGAGGCCAAACTTATGATAATTATGTACTTAAAATTATGTATTTCAGTCTTTGTTGTTAATAAGAACTTATGATTCGGAAACGTTACATGTAATAATAATCACAATTTTTTTGAACTTCTAGTTCTTCCAGAATTTAAAAAAAGAACGAATTATATTCTACTAGTAGTACTAGTTCTTGTCACTGCAGTCTACTGTCTAGTGCGCTTGATTTGATATTCCAAATACGCTGATTAAAAATTACATTAAAAGATTTCATTTAATATTAAGAATAAAAGAAAATAGTATACCAACCGTCAAACTAAATAATTGATGTAACATTGACAAAATTCACTGATGACAGTGATGAATAACAAGAAAGAAAAAAAAAGAAGTAAAGTTATTAATATTACGTCGTTCCAGTGAAAGAAAACACATCGTACAGACAATAACATATAAACTGAACTGTATATATATTAAAGTTACATATCAAATGCGTTTTACAATTTTATGTCACAATTAAATATCCTTACCTTTCCTTTTTGAAAAAACTCAACAAAGTTTGCCATGTTTACTCTATTTAACAGAGTCCTCTGGATATTTATAAGAAAATAAGATACTGTTAATTTGTAATATATCAAAACTGGCCCATCGAGGACACACTTCTCCCAGTAAAATAACCAACCACAATTAAATTAACTTGGTTCTTCGCGTTTGTATACCTAGCAAAAAAAAAAGCTTAAAATAACTTGAAATAAAAGTACACACTACAACAAGAACAACTAAAAAATGTAACAAGCTTATAATACCAATCAAAATACTTTTTATCGAAGAAGAAGACTACATATGGATTTCCAAGGCTATAAACTTATTGTCCCTAATATTCGAATTCACATTACCAGATATTTCACCCCACCACTCAAATAAAATTGTCAAAGGAATATTGTGCACTGAAACCACTAAACATTTTGACAGCTGACCCAAATCACCTTGTTACTGTTTCTAACGGCGTTGATTAGCCGTTGAACATGTTTAGGGTATAGACAATGCAACAGCATAATTTTTATTGTATCAGTCATGCTGTTCAGGCTGACAATTTAAGTCTCTTTGATATACGTTTGTCTCAGGGTTTCCCTTCAACATCCTTCGAAAAAACACTATATTGGATAATCCTTTTTGTGTTTTTCTTAATAATTGTCCAAAAATATATAATAATAATAATACCTTAGGACTTTTGGCAGTTGAACCTGTCTTCATCAGAAACATAATGATGAAATAACTTGTTTATTGGAAAAATACATTATGTGATGAAAAATACATTTAATGTATTTTTTCTTATCGTGTATTAAAACTACTATGATGTTGTAGAAAGAAACTACCAGAGCTTTACCCTTCTAAATTAGAATTAAAATAGGTATTTATACGGGTATATTAAGGTAGAAATTTTCAAACGTTTTCGAGCAGATTTTTTTTTTTTTATTTAGTTAACACACTTGTGAATATGATGTAATTAGTCCTATGTTTCTATTTATCTCCATTTCAGTTAGGATGCACATTACATTTCCATTCTACAAGCTTAATATCTCCTACTGAGTGATGTGTTTTTGAACCGCTTTCATTGAAAACACACATTTGTCAAATGAGTGCCGTACTAAAACAAGCAAAAATCAATTAAAATAATAGAACAATCACACCCGTGAATTGGGGGCCCTAAGCAATTGCTTAGTCTGCTGAGGTTAAGGGTGGGTAATTTGGAGTTGTAGGGCATTGCACTAGGTGAAGATTTACCTGACTAAAAACGCAGTATAACAAAATTCTGTTAGTCTTTATTTACCACTGATAGATCTAACAGCCAACCCAAATCATTAGTACAGAAGCCACCAGCAACTAGTAATAAAATACAGCATCATTGCTAGTTTAAAGTAATTAAGATTTTATTCTAGTTGTTTTATTCATACAACTGTGTTCCATCTTTTTCATTTCACTGGTTGGTGTTCGATTTATCCTTCTGTAAAACATTTCTTTCAGTCTTCCACATTACATTCAGAATTTATATCTAATCTGTTGGTCATTAACGAATCTGAATATCACAACAACTTAATTCAATTTCTAATTTTATAACCGTTTTATCACTCACATTTTCTGTCAAACTCAATATGTTATTCTCTTCCTCCATTTTAATCAGAGAGATATCAAATTGAGTTAATGTGCATTAGGAGTTTCCAATAATACAAAAACTTATTAGTTTTATGTGATGTGAATATTTTACAATTAAAAACTATTACATTTTACCATTACATAATAAGAACGGGTATGGCTTATTCATGTACACTCAGATGATATTTTTTATACACATTTTGTGCAAATGTTCTGTATTTAGTTAGTTGAAGTCCTTCCTCACAAGACGCTAAGGGTCATAAAGTTGTGCTATTCTCCTGTATTAAAATACTTATATTTATTCTACCTTGTTTCTGTATCATTTCTGTGGGCCATCTCAAATTTACAGAAGTTCATGTAAATTAATATTACCTAGAGTTTACTTAGTTGGAATACATATATATATATATATATATATATATATATAATAGATCGTATGTTAGACAGTAAGGTAATAGTAGATTGTTGTATGTCATATAACTTCTT